GGCCCGGAGCGGAGATCCCCCGCGGCGCGGCGCGGTGCGGGCGGGGGGAGAGGGGCGTTTAGTCACGGCGAGCGCTTCGGCTGTGCCTCGGTTTTAAAACCTGCCGGGCTGCCGGGAGGAGTTGAGGAGAGCTCGTTTATAGCGAGTAATGGATGTGACTGAACCACGAAGGGACATCAGGCCACGCAGCCGGGCTCGGGAGAGCTGTAAACTTAAATTTATAGGTCATTGGTACCACGAGGTATTTCCCTGAATTGGCTCAGAATAATTTAATTCACCTGTGAAACCAGCTCTTTACTGATTGTGTTAGTGCCTACGTTTAATCTGTTGAGGAATAAATAGCGTTATTAATTTGGCGTGTTCTACGTGAAGAATGCGATTGGTGATACTTGATGTAAGAGCACGGAAGAGCAGTAGATGCCCTTGCATCTTAACTTTTGTGCTTTTACCTCTGAATTCCTAGCTTCGTTTTATTTAATCTGTATTTATAGCAGAACTGCCTTTCTGCATTTCCAGAGCTTTTTCTTTGCTCTGATTTGATTACTTAAACAGCTCACCACATCTTTCCCTTTCTTTCCCTCTAAGTAAACTGTAGAATAACTTTAGGGGCAATAGCTTTTGGTGATTTTTGGAGTTCTTCCTCATGAAGACTGAATAGTCTGGACAGTGGTGACCAGCATCTTCAGACCTCATGGCAATCTTCAGCATTTGTTTTTTCACAGTTAGATTTTTTTGGGTTGAGGCTCAGAGTTCTTATTTTAAGTTTACTTAGATCAAGAGCCCCATTTGAAGAGGCTTTTTTTTTTTTTGTTAAACTTACCTTTTGTATTTTAAAAATACAGTAATTAGAATTTTGGGATGAGGCATTATCGTCATCCTTCGGGTCTGTTTTACGGAGGGCTGTTTAAATCTTGGCCATGTTTACAGAAATATCTTACTTAATTTACAACTAGGTTATTCACTTACTGAAAGTATTGTTTTCTCTAAGTGATGTGGATAATCAAATCTCTAATCTCACTTAGAATGAATGTTAGGCTTTTGCTAGACATCACCATTTTGATTAAGTTTTTTTTGTATTCAGAATGGGTGATTGCATGTAGCTTTTAAAAGCTGTTTTAAAGCAACGGTTAATTTAGGTTTAGGGATTTAATCTCATAGAGCTAGGGAATAAATGAATGAGACTCATCAGTTTCAACTGCGCCTGTTTATTCATCGGAATGAAGTGGAGTAAAGCCGTAGTCTAAACAGGGAAAAGTTGATTTAGATGATTTCAGGCTTAGAATAGCTTTGGACTGTAATGTGAATGTGTTTATATTTACATACGTACACCTAAAAGGAGGCAGAGGAAGTCCCAGAGCTGCAGGGTACATCAAGGAAGGGTTGCTGTATGCTTACTCTGTTCTTGTTCTTTTCTTTAAGCATTCACAAGCTGTCCTTATTAGAGACAGGATAGTGTGTTAGACGGGCCTTGAACCTGAGCTAGTATGGCATTTTTGTGTGTATAATAAAATGTTTTCTGTGTAGTAGCATGCAATTTGGAATTTAAATTTTAAATTAGGCAGGTGTCAGAACTGTAAGTTTTTAAGAGTATAGTATAAAAATTAATACCAGCTGCAGAGAAAGCAGGCTGATGAATGTGCTGTTACTTGGGGTGCTTATTTGCATTTTTGTTAACATCTGTAGGACATCCCAACTCGTGAAAGGAAACGCTCGCAACTATGTTTTCTAAGTGGCAACTTCCAGTGCTTTCCTGAGTGCCTTGTGGGAGTACTGTGCTTCTCACGAAGACGTTGTTGGAATCTGCTGCGACTCCCATCTGTTCTTATGATGTTGCAACGTTGCCTTTCGCTGAAACCCCAGCCATAGTTCTGTTTTCCTGTGCTGAATCTCTCCTTTTTATGTGGCAAGCACCTGGGCACCTGTGAACCTTTCATTTATCTCTAGCATATGAAAGGGAGCAGAAGGGATCTATAAAAAAGTAGTTCAGTAGCATCTTCCCTCTAAACTGGTTCCTCTGCGTTAAGGTTTACTGTAGAACTTGCTATGATAATTTGTGAAAGCATGCAAAAAATCCAGTCTTGCTGCTAGCAAAGTGTCTGTTGGTTGTCTTCTAGTGTATCTTTTGGAAAGTTGTTACAGTAAATTAAGCAAGTTTCACCATCTAGAACTACGTGAGTTATGTGTAGGAGTCGTGAAAGCTTCCTGCATAGTTGTGCTAATGCAGTTTAATCCCAGCCTGTGGTGTGTGTATATATATATATATATTCTTCCTGACTCTATCTCCTGAAAAGTTTTCATCCTGGTTGCTACTGTTTTTGGTTCGTTAAGGAAAAGATGTGTTACATTAACTCGTCCCTTCCTAATTTTAGTCTTGGAAATATAAAAATATAACAGAATTTGTTTATACCTGATGTCAGTGGATCATGGGTGTTTACATCACAAGCAATGTTGTACTTATCTAATACAGTGCCTTGCCAAAAGTAGAGAGACAGGGAGCAAGCGGCCTTTCAGTAGTTAAAGGGGGCCTATAGGAAAGATGGGGAAAAATTTTTTTAGTAGGGACAGTTGTGACATGACAAGGGGTAATGGTTTTAAACTGAAGCAGGGTAGGTTTAGACTGGATATAAGGAAGAAATTCTTTACAATGAGGGTGGTAAAACACTGGAACAGGTTGCCCAGAGAGGTAGTGGAGGCCCCCATCCCTGGAAGCATTCAAGGCCAGGTTGGACGGGGCTCTGAGCAACCTGACCTAGTTAGCGGTGTCCCTGCTCACGGCAGGGGGGTTGGACTAGATGACCTCTAGGGGTCCCTTCCAACCCAAAGCATTCTATGATTCTATAACTCAGTACACTTCAAATAACTCTTACAGTGCAGCATCCTTGACATCGCTTGGCAGTTCAGACCACTAGCTCTGTCCCATGTCATGTTGGCAGCTCTGAGAACAGCTCTGATTCTGCGTTTATGTATTTTACAGAATTGTTTTGAGCATCACCATGAGGTATTCAGTGAAGCTCTTTAACAAGTGAGGTTTACAAAGATAGTGGTAAATGATAGAGCTACATTGATGTGCTCTTTATTTCAGTTAGCAGTCTTGCATTTGGGGGAAAACCATCAGAAAGCAAAAATAGCGCATGTCTGAAGATACACAAAACTTCACTTTGTTGTTCTTCAATGTCTATGTTCCTTATACTTAGCTACCAAAGAACACAACTTGAATTTCCCCCGTACGCACTTTGGAAGGCTAACAGATTCCATGTGTTCTTAAGGAATAGCATTAAGCAGACTAATTTGCAGGACTCCAGGTTTTCTCCTGAAAATGGTTTATCAGTCTACGTTATGAATCATGGGTGGAATCAACCTTATCTCCCAGTTGTTAGCTCTGGAGAAAAGATGAGCTGCTAATGTAAAAGGGTTTCAGTATATTTAATCTCTTGCGATCACATCTTGTTACTGTGGCCAGCATCTTGGGGTTGTCACTTTTCCATTCATCTGCAAAGGCTAATGTGATCCCACTATTGCCATTCTTATATTACTTGTGTGAAATAACAGATCAAGTTAAAATCCAGCCTAGACAGTACACCCTTAAAGTATGTCATATTTTAATAGAAGGGGGGAAAAAAAAAGAACCTTGGCAGTTGTTTGCTAGTTTTAAAGAACAAAAATTCAAGCTTTCCTAGTTCTCGAACCGTGTGCAGTATAGTCAGCGATGTAATAAGCCTGCAGCCAGAAGCTCCCGAAATGAACTTGTTGTTTACATCTTCAGTGACATCAGTATTTAAAGATAATCACTGAACCAATCGATAAACTATAACTAAAAACTATACTATAGAACTGTGAAATTGGAGATGTGAACATTGGACTTTGCAGCGGGCAGAAGAGATGGTGACATATGAACACGGAAAGAATAGGCCCATGTCTGTGTTTTCTACCCTGTTTTGACTGTTAGGTGCTTGCCGTACATGTAGTGGTTGTGTTCCCCACATGCATTCTGTGGTCAGCTGCCCCATTTCTGCTTCTGCCATTTATTGCCAGGAGGAGACATCGGTTGTTTTCAGTTTGTACGAGGAGTAAGCAGTGCATAAAGCCAGGTGGAGTGCTGAATGTCAGTGTGCACAGCTAGTAATGGTTTTGAGGTTATTGCTGACTTGCCAAAGCAGAGTGATTGGTTATCGTGGAGCAAAGAAATGAGCATCTTTACTACAAGCATGAAGTCACAAGCCCCTAATGGGTTTTCAGTATGGACCCATCAAGTGCAATGGGAGAAGGCTTACACCTAAACTTTTGTACCAGAGCTTGCATATTGTTCACGTATAAAATGTGATTATATGTCTGTGAAGTTTTATGGATATTTATACATTAGATAAAGCTTATCTGTACTCATTTTGAAATAATTATTTTGCTTAGTTACCACCTTAAGACCAATTTGTCTAGGACAGGCATGGAGGCAGAACAAATTTGCAACTTGAAATCCTTTCTCTCCCCGGCTTACACAAGCCTCTTGAGAGACAGTTGTTAGGAGCATAAGTTTAAACTAGTTAACTTCCCAACATTTAGAATAAAAATATGAAAATACATAGTATCTCTAACACTGACTAGAACCAATGTAATGTTACTATTAGCCTTTCCTTTTTCCTTCAGGCTCCATAGATTCTCAGCTCCACAGTCTGGAAAATGTGTTTCTTGAGTCCCTGTTGAAGTAAAGATGGTCATCCAGGTAGGATTATTTTACCATTACTCTTTTGCCCACCATTTTCTGATACCGGACTAAGCTGTTGCTTGTTTTCTACAGTCCTGAACAATGTGTGGATTAGAACGAGAGACTAAGAATAATTTCATGTCATGCTTAGTATTACCAAAGCTGTGAAACACCATCGTACCAATATGTGGTCTAAGTATTCTTAATTATGTGTTGCTTTATTGTCTTGTAAAGACAGCCTCTGTTTTTTGAGTCAAGAATGACTACATTTTCTTATGTTATTTCACTATATATGATGGTATAAGTTTTGAAAAAACAGGGAAGTGTATTGCTAATACAGTTAATGATGACTGACTATAAAATGCTATAAAATTGCACTGTGAATTGTATAATGGGTTTAAGAACAGAGTAAAACTGCTTCAGAGCTACTAATTATGTCTCAGAACTTGGAAACGTATGCATCCATTTATATAAAGAGTGTAGAAACTCTTTATTGCGTTCATAATGTGTTGTTTGGTGGACTTGAGCTTGGTTTTAGCAACTGAAGCTGTTCCAAAAGCAGCAATGTAGTTTCAGATATGAAATGCAGAGCTGCTGTTTCACAGACAATATGCCATGAATGCTATCTAAAGAAATGGACTTCACATTGCTAATTATAAATAAAAGAGTGGAATGTAATTATTTCACACATTACATGTGGCGAAATCGGAAGCTTCAACTGACAGATGGTGAGGGGTTTTTGTGTGTTTTTAGAAAACACCTTGCAAGTTCAGCTGGTAGAAAGCCTTGCTTTTTTATCATAGTCCAGAAGAGTCAAGAAAAGAGACCTGATCTAAAGAAACAGTCTGAAATTTCTTCTCGGAGGTTTGACAGATACAGTAATGAAGGTTTTCAGTGGCTTAACAGATACTGTGATAGAGGTTCTCAATGAATGGCTGTTCATGAGCACTTAATTATCTCATTGTGATCTGGGTCATTTGGAAAGCTGTGAACACAGTTAACTTTTGTGTTAGGATTGCACTGTAAATGAGATGTGTGTGTGGAAGGGAGAACGCTGAAGTTTCATCATCCTGAGACTAGAAGTGCTGGAGAAGTGACCAAAATCAAATTCTGAATGAGCAGCTTGCTCCCTTGTTAAGGTGAATAGAGGATAAAGTCTAACGAGAGTATGAAATCTCTATTCTGTAGGTCATATCTAAAAATCCTTGCTCCTCCCCTAATGCTCTCCCTCCTGCCAGCCCAAGGCAGAGTTACTGCTGCTCCCACCAGGACAGACAGCAGCCCTTTGTTAGCTGCCTTGCCTGGGGCACACCCTATCCTGGCTTCGCTGCTGCTCTCTTGCCATCTGTAGATCCTAAAGACCCTGAAAGGAGCCTTTTGCTGCCCAAGCTCCAAGGTTAACTGCTTCAGTAAGTCCGTGTTACCTGCAGTACCTATATAGCTAACCTGTAACTTCAGTCCTGCCAACTTAAGTTCTAGCATCTACTTTCCTATGGGGAAAGGAACATCCAGTCTGTACCACAGAGCTGCTGTAGGTTTCTTATTCAAAGATTGGTTACTTCTCCAAAGATCTGGATCTGTTACTTTAATAACATCAGAATTAGGTGTGCCAGCAATTTTGTCATTGTATTAAGAAGACGCTGCAAGTACTATAGCCCAGCAAGTCTTAAACTGCCCTGATGGAGCTGCAGTGTGTGGCTCCCTGCTTTGACAGCTTGTTGTGTGTTTGAAATGCGATACAGACAGTGACTTGGACCACCTTCCAGCTGCCACGACCAGTCTGAGCAAGGGTATCAAAATGGCAAACCAACCTCAGGGGATAAAACTGTGAATGGCATGCTTTGAGGCAAGTGCTGAGTGGTGCCTTTGGTCCCTCATCTGACTGCTGTGAGAGTCATGTGCCTGGGCCCTGAGACCTGGAACAGGTCGGGCGAGACACCCTGGGTGCTTCTCAGGGAAGGCTAATCCAGCTTCAAGAAATCCTGATGGTTAAAACGGAGAGCAAAAGTAATGTGCAGCAGCTGAGTACTGGGGGAAGACAGACGTCAGTCATCCAGCAAACACATTTTTGGAAGGAGTGTAGAAAGGACAGATGTTGTCCTTTGTTTAGACCCGTGGCTACAGCTAGCAAATGTGGATGATTGAATACTGTTGTAGTTTCCCTCTGTTCCCCTACTTCTAGGAGATGGTGGGCATGTTAGCACCCAAACTGAAGGAGAAATTGTGACTGGAAATAGCAGATTTCAGAACTGCAACAGTGGAGGAAAATGCCTTCTTGGGCAATTGGATCTGCTCTAAGTGGGGAAGGGAAGGATTCGCGAGGTGTTACTTGGAGGGAACGGGAGTCAAAGGAACAGTCTGACAATTGGAAAAAATGTGACAATTTTATTGTGCCAGCTGTAAACAGCTTTTGTTTCCTAGAAGCTACAAAAACTGTTTTCTAACACTGTACTGTATTCAATATTAATTAACTCCTGATTTAGTGATAAATATGCGTTTATTACTTAATAAAGATAATTAAGATTCCTTCTCATTAGAGCTTTTTACTGAACTTGTTCACAGTGATGAATGAAGACTGTTAAATACCGTCATTTCAAGAGGAAAAAAGGTTGGGGTGGGAACAGAAGGGTGTTAGAAACAATACAGAAATTTGGCTAAAGGCAAGAATCCGTAGCTGACACGGATGTGGAGGAAGAGTTTAAATATTTGGGGTACAGAATGTAAAATTTTTTCTTTTCTGGATATCCGATTTTAAAAAGTAAAGTGCAGACATTAATATGACAAATATTAGAATTTTGGAAAGAAACAGACCCCCACATTCCACACAGCACAGGAGTCTTAGGCGATGTCTGTTAGGAAAGGTTTGCAAATTCAATAAACTTTTCTCACAGTAGGACCTGGCTGATCTGCGAATTATATTTAGTAGGTCATAGAATACCAAGGAAACTTCAGACGCCTTGGAAAATGTTACTTTTCTTTTCATGTTTGAAGAAGAGATAGTGGGGATTGACCCAAATCAATACTGGTTGGTTATCAGCACCTTAACTGACTGAAAAAAGAGAAGCATGATAACCAACATCTGCAACATGAAGACAGGTAGTCTCAATCCAGTAACTCTTCATCAGTGGTTCACTTCTGGCTCAGCAAACCAAAGGCGGCATTAGGAGTGAGGGTTTTTTTATTGTTCAGAATTAAAACATCCTGTAGGAAGATAGTTTTTAGTTAAATACTCTTTTCACTGCTCTATGAATACAGGCAGACAGCAGCTGTAGCACAACGTTTAACTTTGTTGTGTAGGTGGACAAGTGTAATCGATGATGACAGCTGAGTAAATGCCACTTCATTGATGTTGAATTTACATTTTACTCCTCAGACTTTCAGCTTTATCACACTATTTAATGAGTTCCGGCTAGTAGTTTTGGCTTCCTATGGGTGATAGCAATTAAATTTGAAAGAAAACAGGAGGCGTTCTGGTTGCTTTATCCAAGTACTGAACTCACTATTTTACATGCTGCTAGCTTACACCAGGGAATTAAATGTCCCACCTTATTAAATCACTTATTCTGTCTTCTCTGATGCTTTCATCTGGCTTGGATCTAGCATTAATATTTAAAATGTATGTATCAGTTCAATAGACACATGCATTACTTATCAAAACACGGCAGCTTATTAAAACAAACCCGCTGTCATCACAGGTGGAAGTCTGTGGAATGACATGTGGCACCAGCAGGTGCATTGGACTTTTTCACAAGCTGGTCAGTTGAGGTATTGGTGGTACTTCAGGAAGGAAAAACACCTTCTTGAATGTATGAATGGAGGAACTCCAGATTCCTGAAAAGAAAACACGGCATGCACGTTAATATGGTTTAAGACTAACAGACTACAGGAACGGGAAAGTATTCATGTAAGTAATTGGACCTTCTGTGGCTGTTTAGTGTGTTTGTAGTAACAGTTTCCAGTATGTCAGAGCAACTACATGTGTTAATTGAGATTTCTTGTATTTGCCCACATTGTGAAGATCTAAATAATAAATTATCCCCAGTCGTCCAAAAGCAAATCTCATCTTGTTTCATGGTACTTATGGCTAAACATTTGTTTAGCTGCTAGTTTGCAGCTCGTAATGTCCCTCAGCACTGGGATAAAAATAAGAGTGTGTCCTTCTTGCCGTGTCCGCACTGGACGTGGTTGGAGCTGTTGTGGTCTGTCTGCAGGATTCCAGCACACTTGTGTTGCTCCTGGCTCCTAGTCGACAAGGACAGTGTCCTCACTGCAGAGGCCAGATGTCTTCATCGCTTTCTTTGCAGTGGGCTGCTTCTTGTTCACTGGATGGTCAAATTCAGATGCTGATTTCCCTTCTCTTTAGGTGTGCATTTGAGAGGACAGTAAGGGCTAAACTCCTTTTGTATTCTCTGATTAGTGCTGGCCTCAAGACCTACGTGCTACTCCGTCGTACATGAATTGAAAGCATACCTTTACCCTCTTCCTCCTTCAAACAGGGCTTGTTTGTGCTTCTGTCTTAAATGTTAATTCCTTGCTGCTGTTGCTGCCTTATATTTTCTCCTGCATAATGGAAATTGCGTCCTCTTCCTCTGTATCTCTTCTGCTGCTTTCAGAAAGAAACAGATTTCTCTGTAGTTCTTGGAACAGTTTTTAGAGACCTTGTATGTAATAATACACCACTCTGAATTAGTAAGTAATGACATGACCTTTTCTTCTCCAAAACTCATTCTTGAGTAGTATGCTGAGATACTATCTCCCCACTTGAATGCTTGACTAGAGCGATGGGTTTTGATACCGGCACGCGTGACAGGCACACTTGATAGCCTTGCTTCCCCAATGGAGAAGTGAGAATATGCCACCGCCTGAGTGAAAGCCTCATATCTGGTTACCTAGTGCCAAATGTTGTGATGTTTTTTCACTATGTTATGTTTTCTTTGCTGGATGTAGACTGTAATAGGAAAGGTAATTCAAAATCCAGTGTTTGCATTGTGGCAAAGCCACTTACACATTTCAAAACT